TTTTGATAATATCTTTCACAATCGTGACAAACAGACTGTATAAAATCGACACGAATAGGACTTTCTAAAGACCATGATATACAGTTACAAACAAAATCTGCATATATATGCAGGGAAATTGTTATTTATATCACTTAGCTTTTTTCATCAAATTAATCATCCCACAGGGTGACCTTGTTTCCAGTTATGTTATAGACTGAAATGTACGTTGGAATACGGTGATGATAATGACAACAACAATTAAATAGATTTAACGCTTATGGTTTAAAACCCGGAATAAGAAGTCTAGAAGTCATTTTGAGGAAGGTATTCAGATAACAAGAGCAGGCTCTGAACTCACAAATCATATAGGACGAACAGGTGGAATGTTACTTTTGAGGAAAGGAACATAAACGATCAATAAAATGAAATTCGTCACATTTGTCGGGTGGTTGGGAAGTGAAATATGTGTTGCGGTAGTACTAACTTATAGTTTATTTCAATATACATGACCTTAAATAGAACAAAAATAATGTGGAAACATTTAAAGTAGTTCTCAAAAGCCTTGTTAATAAAGGGCAAGTCACCGTCTATGTACTAATATCTAAATGTGAAAATAAAAGGACCAATAATGTGTCGTCTAAGTCACCAAAACCATAGTTCAAACTCAAAACCGATAAAACTAGGGCAACATAGCAATAAAGGAAAGATTAACATAGAAACCATTGAGAGAGAAAAGGAATAAGGCCAAGTGTTCCGGAAAGGTTAGCGCCTGTTAATGTCAAATTCTTTGTTGCAATTGCTTGGTCTATCCTAGAGTTTACACGGAGCTGTTTCACAAGAAAGAGAGTCTATCATCCTTGGTAAAACAACAAGGGTTTGGGTTGTTTGTGTTTTACGTCCTATTAACAGCTATGGTCATTACGGACGTGCCGGGTTTTGGGGGTGCACGAAAAAGCCGGAGTTCCCGGAGATAAACCACCGACCTACGTCCAGTACTTGCCGACTGCGTGGTGGAGGGCTAGTGAGAACAGAATGTCAGACGCCAAAAGGCTGTGTAACCAGAAACTAATAATAGAATAATAAAACATTATTAGAATAGACATTGGAACCATTAAAAGGAGTTTAGCAGCAAAAATACCAAATTGGTAAAGACCTAATTTATATATTCGAACATAGCAGACATTTTTTAATTGAAAAGCCAGACTGGCCAAGATATCAGATATCTTTTTAATTGCCCAAATGGCTTCTTTGAGGTGTTCGACCTTAGCAGACGAGAAAGTATGTCTTTTTTAAAAGGCGTCTTGTCAATAAAACTCACTTAACGTCATTGGAGATATGGTATTTTTGTTAAAGGTCGTGTAATTGTATTGCGGGATGCTATAGATAATAAATAGAAGAAACAAAAGCTAATCATACTGAATTGATTCTTATAAAGAACGGAGTTCATAAACATTAGTCGACTCCGGTCACCCCTTCTTGCCGTAACGAATTCATAAGGCCTCTTAATAAAATCATTTCAAAAGTATGAAATATCTTACCTAACAGTTAGCGATTCTGAATCCCACTGTATCCCCTGACCTTCAGTTTGGATATAACCGTAGCACAGCATCATCAACACTCCAGGGGTTACGCCCACCTACGCTCTCTACATCCCACTAATATGGTCCAGTTGCAATTGTTAGGATCTTTATATTTCTCTCTACTTCTAACTACCTTTTATTTCCTACCGCCTTGCTTGGCATCACCCCACTTTTGGCCTTAATGTTGAGCGTTCGTCCAGGTAAGGATGGCAATGGGTTCTGTTCCAATGCTGGGACATACCAAAGTCCTTAAAAATGGTAGTTGTTATTCCCTGCTTAGCGTTCAGCATTTAGGGGAATGGCAACAACTGGTTCACCCGTTGTCAGTATAATGTGACCGGGCGGAATGTTGTGCTGGGGGCCTTTGGCATGATATTTCAGTGAGATCGCACTATATAGTCGGAAACAGATCCGCGCTATCACAAGGAGGCAAATACACCAACACATCCTGCCTCCAGCACACACACATAGAAACATGCACGCATACACAATAAACACGGAGATACGTCCTTAAATGATCTTAGCTGTTAATAGGACATTAAACAAAATAAAACCAAACCAAACTCATGCCAATATCGAAGGTTTAGTGTGCACCACCTTGTGGATGAGACAATAAGACTAGTTTAATCCTTTGATGTACACCAAAAGAACATTTCGGTCGATTTACTGTTAAATTGACTGGCTTTTTAGTCGGGTCTCGTTCCTTTGTAACCTTCAAAAGGACAGGTAACAGCCAAGCGATTGGTCAGGTTTGTTTTACCCGAGACCAATCAAATGGCTAACCGTATGTCTTCAGTTTTGCTATGACATATTCCAGAGGCGGTGCAGACACATGAGAGAGTGAAAGTGATCGTACAATGTAACCCCTGGAGTATCGAGGATGGTAGTACAGTTAGGCCAGAACAGGTATCTCAATCAGTCAGAGCGATATCGAGGATGGTAGTACAGTTGGGCCAGTACAGGTATCTCAATCAGTCAGAGCGATATCGAGGATACAGATTCTGACATCGGCTTACCAGAGGTACCAAGGGAAACAAATCATATAGCGCAAAAAAAAGGGAAAAGCAGACTAAAAATTACTTGAATTTCTACATTTGGTAGAAAAGAAATAAATTTAAAAAGTTCTAAGGACACTTTGTTATTTTATTTGTAAAACTGAAATGACAACAAAAATAAATATAATAATATTTACATGATTATCAGAAAATTCACCGGATTTTAAATATGGTATATAACAGATTCACAATTGGGCAAGAACCCTGCCATATCCCTCCACTGATATGTAAAACACATTTTGATTGATGAAATTCACTGTAGTTGAATTGAAACATTTCCAGTCACTAACAACACAACATTAACTGGTTCGTATCAACAACAATACAAGTTTCTGTATTTCTCCTGGTAAATCAAGAAATGAGATTCACCATGTCATGATCACAGTTTTGAAAACCCAGAGGCCATGGTAAATTTATCCCGGAGACGCCTGCAGCATGCACAGTGTCTTATACAGCAATAAACTCCAAAGCAAAGCGCTACAATACAGCAGATATCCAGGACCAAGATGACAATCCACCTACAAACAAACGGACAACAAGAGTATAAACGTGCTTAATAATGTACTCTATGCTTTACACTAAACAAGAGTATAAACGTGCTTAATAATGTACTCCATGTTTTACACTAAACAAGAGTATAAACGTGCTTAATAATGTACTCCATGTTTTACACTAAACAAGAGTATAAACGTGCTTAATAATGTACTCCATGTTTTACACTAAACAAGAGTATAAACGTGCTTAATAATGTACTCCATGTTTTACACTAAACAAGAGTATAAACGTGCTTAATAATGTACTCCATGTTTTACACTAAAACTTTTAGCCGATATCTTAATATTTATCAAACTCCTTACCTTTTATTTCCTTTTTTTACATAGTGCAACCACCCTGGTTTGCACCACAGGGACCTGAGAATTTGTAACAGCTGTATTTTGACGTAAATTAAAGTGTAAAGAGTAATTCGAATTGTTTTAGGGGTTAAAATCAACTTCAGTAAAAAAAAACACTCCCCATGATGATATGAATACCATCATTGGGGCGTTATTTTTACCAAAATTTGTGTAAAATTACTCTGAACACTTAAGTTTACGTCAAACTATAGCTGTGACAAATTCTCAGGTCCCTGCGAAATTAAACCATGGCAAAAACTCACAATTCTTCCCATGTCACTAAACCATATTACATTGTTTTGCAGATTAATTCTGATACACGTGACAAATACTAGATAACTTTGTACGTAAATGATACCCACGCATTTTCGGCGAGGTAGTCGGCACAGAAGGACTCTCTGTCGGCGCTAGGTGCCCGTTTGTTGTAGTCGTCACAGCAGTTATACATGACTTCAGACAGGGCAAGCTTATTGGACCAAACTGAACATAAATAACCAAACACATGATTGAATTGAAATTGGCCGTTTAATTTGTATAAACGACAATTGAAAATATTTCAAAAACATAAACCAATATGGAACATGTACATAAAATAGTTTGGTCCTAGGTGGGGATAAAACCGCCACTATAGTATCTGATAAATGTCACATTTTGTACATGCTCAGAAACCATCCCCCACCCGCAGCCCTGACTGAACATATTAAAATTAAAATTAAAATCTAGAATAAAATAAAACAACATTTTGGCAAAATGTATCACACATGTATGATAGCATCAAAATATAAAACACTTTCAACAAAAACTAATCGTTGTTAAAACGTGAGTTCTCCAATCACGTAGCACCTATAAGTCACTGACAAGGTCAGATGTCGTCATTTAGTTATACAAGGGTTGGAGGATCCAGAATANTGGGTGCGATTTGGTGGAAAGCAATGCCCCAAATTCCACAAATTCATTGCACATAATTTTGGCTTTAATTTTGGAATCTTAGTGCACGTCCAGAGGTCGGGAAATGCTACTGTAAGCCGGAGTATGGGGTAAACATGTATCTGTACCTGTAAAACCTGCAACTGCATTTTGGATGGGTGACTGGAGACTGTAGGGGTCCAGGACTGGAGTTGTTTGTAGGGAAGTAGACGGCAGTAGTTGTCTGGTTGGTAGATTGGAGGCAGTAGGTGTTGCTAAAACAGATGGCTGCAAGAGCCTGGTTGAAGATTGTTGTGCGAAGGCTGCAGTAGCAGAATGAGGTAATGTCACCCATGAGGCCGGCATATTTGTAGCCTGTGACTGATTGGTAGAGGAGGATTGCTCGCAAACCTGCTGTGGTACCCGAATGTGTAGGTAGTGGCATAGTTGGGGCTGTCATATTTGTGGCCCTTGTGGAGTGAATATATAACCAGATCAATGCGCGTGACCTTTTCACCTCCTGACCCACAACCCCCTCCAATGTTTACAAACATTGCGTAGGGACTATTTATATACTGAAAACATAACATCAAGTGAATCAATCGATAACCGCATGTATAAAATATATCAAAATTGTTTTTTAATTGTTTACTATACGTGGTGTTTTTGAGGCAGCAGTAATCGGCGCACCACACCGAGTCGTTGTCCTCCATCCCAACAACACCATGGTGGGCAATACAACACTCCCCTTTCCCTTCCACGGTATATACTGCTGAAATATTGTTCAACTTGTGAAATAGGAAATATCACACTTGGAAAGGAAAATAAAATAACTCAGATACATTACAATGTACATCTTGAGGTATTAGAGTACAATAATACACATTTGTAAAGACAAAAAGACTCTCTCTGATTTATTTGATTTTGATTTAAACATATATTTTATTGCAAATAACAGTTGTTGCAAACGAATTTGACTCAATTTTTGCCAACCTATTGAAGTCCTCTTCGACAAAAATTAATTGATTGCAATACATATCACGCAATGTTAGAGCTACTTAAATATACATATGACAAAAAAGAATTGTTGGTAAGAGAGGGGACAAAGAAGAGATCGAGATATTTTTCGAAAAATATTGGACACAGCTAACTTAATTTTTATTACATAATATAATTTGTTTTCTTCATTTTCCACGTAGACGGAGCTTGTGATATATATACTAATCACTTTTCAGACACCTTCAGCTTTAAGACTCTCTCTCTCTCTCTCTCTCTCTCTCGATCTTGATATCAATTGTGAAAGAAACAATGTACTTTCAAAAATCATAAATTACAATAAAATATGTTGAAATAAAAATCAAAGCCTTTCGGCTTCTACCCCAGATATTTTTCAAAGTTTACCTAACCCCCATCTCCAGTTAATTATTAATATTTAGTTGTAATGCTTGGATCCAAAGAATGTTTGTCTGTTAGTTGCAAATCCATCGTTAAGCTATGGAAATAAGTGATATAGTTTGCCATCTTACCGTTTCATATCAAAAAAAAAGGGGGGGGGGGGGGGTGTCTTAATGGTTCAGATTTTTGTTTGGTAAAATTACAATAAATTCTACTGGTTATATAGACTATACGTATTTGGCACGCATTAGGCATTAAGCTCACCTACGATGTTGATCAAAATGGAACATAGCACAATCTTGTCCATCGTATTCGTTGTGTATTCTGTACAAAAGGCTCACGGTTGAAATTCCTTCACACTGACCGACAAAGAGACAAGAAACTGTATTGAAAGTCGCATACATATTAACAGGAAACGTTAGCTCTTGTGAGCTATTATCGTGACAAACACATGTATGGGAAACAATAAGACATTACAATATCACATAACTCAGGGGTAATCAGATATACGTATTCATAAATAGCTTTCAATCCTTTCACATAATCACAATGAAATGGAAAAAGTATCATATATCTCAGCGTAAAATAAGTTAGTAATAATTTAAAATATTTTAACTAAATTTGTTGAGCAATAGATATCTATTGCATACAAGCTCCAAATTCCACAGTAGCACGTTCAACATTCACAGGGCAAACAGGTCAAGATTATATATCAAAAGCTGACAATACTTCCGGTATTTACAACAATGACACTACTGGGTAGCTCAGTAGCTAACATATGTCAACAATTGATACTATCGCAGTGAATAATGGAACAGAAATGCTTAAAACATGTCATTCGTGTAATTTCGGAAATATTAAAGATTAAAGATATATAGTCTCGTTTACAACTGTCCAGATATCCGAGTACTGGGAATCATGTCCTCCTTTGGACCTAACAAGCACTGCTATAATGGGCCAGACAGGCTTTCTTACTGTAGCAGCAGTTCACATTCCATGTTTTTGACTGAATGAAAGGTCTACACTAGCTTACATGTTATTCTTTTAGCTTCCGCCATGATCATTCATATAATTCTGTAAGAGTTATCTCCCCGTAACCACAACGCCGCTCAAAGTAATAACTCGATAGCACCACGAGAGTACTTGCAAAAAATTGCGCAGAGAACTCCCACTTTTCAGTCGCAGAATTCGGACAATTCTGTAAAGAACAGATTATGCTTTGGCGTGATTCGCCTTTCCATTCCATGACGGAGTGGCCGAAATGGAATTGTTCTACTATTTAAGTAAAAGGTAGTTTTTAAAAGTCGTTCTGGATAGTATTGCACTTGTTGAAATTTGTGTGTATACATACCATTTGGAAGAGAAATTTCCTACCTTTTATAAAAAAAAAAGTGGCAACCATGTGCGAATTTAAATAAGTATTTTACTTTCTCTGTCGGAAGTTGGCTGAATAGTGGTCACATAGCAAAATTGAAGGCTCAAAGAAGACTAGTTCGATTCTTTGATGTACATCAAAAGAATCTCGAGGTCAAGTAACGGTAAACATTGACAGGCTTTGTAGTCGGGCGTCTCTCCTTTGTAAACTTCAAATGATAGGTATCAGCCTAGCAATTGGTCAGGTGTTTTTTTTACCCGAGACCAATCAAACAGCTATGTTCGTGCCTTCAATTTTGCTATGACATATTCCAGGGGTGTAGAGAGCAAAAGTGATTGTAATCCCTGGATATCGAGGATGTATCCATAAAGACATCGGGTTTGACGAGAGAAGGGAGCTCAGTTCTTATATATTCGGCATTAAGGGGAATGGCAACAACTGGTTCACCCGTTATCAGTATAATGTAACTAGACGGAATTCTGCGGCATGGCATTTTAGTGAGATGGCACTATAAAGTTGGCATCAGATCCGCGCTACCACAATTAAGGAGGCAAGAACACCGACATACCCTGTCTCCTGCATACGCACATGCAAGCACGCATACACTACACCCATGGAGGCACGTACTTAAATGACCTTAGCTGCTAATAGGACGTTAAACAAAATTAAACCAAACAAAACTAATTTCAGAATTGTCTCACTGCCACCGTTGGCTGGAGGTCTTGCGTTTTGTAAAAGGTGCCAGGAAAATGTCTTATTTTACCTAGTTAAAACAGATTTGCCTTGATCTGTTACGTAGCAAAGCAACTGTTATTAAGTCTGACGGCCATGAAAACCTATTTTCGACTTCCCTATAATCATTCAAACACGTTTTGCTGACGCTTTTAAATCTTCAAAGGGCGATAACTGTCACAAGGACCGATAACCCTATTTATTCTGGGGTTTAGTGTCAATGTCACTACAGTCATTGTAATTTTGAAAAGCATCCAGGGCCATAACTCATGCATGTGTGGCTACTCTTTTTATATTTTACTCAAAGGAAACATAGTCTGTGTTTGAAAGATACTTTAAAAATACATTCCGACTAAAAAATGTTTTATTACACTTTAAACTACCAAAATTGTTTTCATTTTAAATGCTGTCAATGTATTAATATAAGTAACTTAACATGCGTTCCGGATTAATATTCTGCAATGTGTACCTGCACTTGTTTACCTCTCATTTGATTGTTTTTGGACGTACGTCATCAAAATCCTGTCCGAACCAGTAGTTTACTAACGATTACCAAATTTACTTTACTTATGTATCTTGGGTACGCGGGGTGTCACGTACTAAAAATCAGATTTTGCGCTCCACTACGTAGTTTTTTTTTATCATATTTGATATTAAAATGTGTTCGGAACATATGCCTCTTGCCACATTACCTATATTCATCAAACCTGCTATCTTGGGCATCTATGGTAGGCAGAATGTCGCCTACTATAATAAGATCGTATATAAGATTTTTCAAAGTTATGGCCCTTGGTTTTTTTTTCCAAAATTTGTCCGGGACATTATTTCCTTTCCATGTCAAACGTGCCATCGTTATGGATCTTGGGTAGGCAGAAGGCCGCATACTAAAATAGAAGAGTTGTGTGTCTCATTTTACAGGTTTATGAGTTTTTTTCATTTTTTATACCAAAATCTATCCGGAGCATAATTTCCTTTCCATGTCACCTATATTCACCAAACTTGTTATCCTTATGTATCTTGGGTAGGCGGTGTGACGCATACTAAGAGGGGCTGTGTACCACTTCACATAGTTATGGTCCTTTGTTCTATATCAGGAGCGAAAAATGCACGGTCAAACCGAAGTTCGAACCCGGGACCCTCCGAACTCTAGACGGACGCTCTACAATTTGAGCTAACTGATCGCCAACGATTGACCCAGTCTAATTCCGCTACAGATCATCTTCCCAATAAAAAAACAAATCGTCCTGCATGTACCTTAAGAAAGCAGATGTCACATAATGTCACATAATGAACTGGGTCTAGCGCATCGCAATAAAGATTGTTCCGCTGTTTCACTTTTTTAATTACAAACTTTGTGAATCAGCAAGTTTTCTTATTTCTTTAGGATGCTAAAATATTAGTTCAATGTTTTGAATATTTGATAGTCCCCCCTCCTCCCCCATTAAACAAGAGGCCCAAGGGCCTTAGCGGTCACCTGAGTTATATNATAAAAGGTTTTTCTCCGGCCACAACGCGATATGCCATTACGTTGTGGTCGGAGAACAACATACGGTAATGAGCTCCATCCGACAAAAGCAATATCTTTGACGTTTTTGACCAACAAATTTTGAAACCCGTTTCATAATGATAGTGACACATGAAATAAAGTGTCATCTTTATGTTACGTCTTGTACAGGTTTTAACATGTCACTCCTTAAGGTTGCTGCCTGGGAGCCTTCATCAACAAACGGGGGTGTTTTGTTAGCACCTCTTTTATTAGTCACAGGTTTTACCCGAGTTACTGCCCCTTTTCAAACAGACAAGAAAAAGGTTAAAATGGAATCATAAGTTTCTATCCTTATAACTATAGAAACAGACTCCCAATTTTACAAAAGACTGGAGAATGGAAGTCATGCATGTCCCTGCCGCCATGTATGTATTTATGTGAAGTCCCTCCTGTGTAAGAGGACCCTAAAATAGTTTGGTGATAACAAGGCTGCTCTGATACACAATGCTCTAGTTTTGTTTAAATTAAAGAAAGATACAAAATATCTAAACAAGAGGTCCAGAGGGCCTTATCGCTTACCTGGATAAAAAAGCAACCATGGCATTTTTTTTTATTATATACAATACTTCAACTATTTCCAAATATTTGCTCCATCTCTCAGCACCACCCATCCCTCATTAGTTCCCTTCTTTCTGCCCCTACGAATTGGGGTGAATTTTAAACATTAACCTCAATTTCCCCCTATTGGGCCCCGCACCTGTGCCCAAAATTTGGTGAAAATCCCTCAAATCCTACTAAAGGGAATGGATTTTAATCATGTATTACTATCCTCCTTGGCCTCGACCCTCTGTC